AACAGCTATGAAGAAAAGCTCGAGATTTTGTCGTCAGCATGACCAGATTTACAGGAATGTATTATCACTGAGGCAGCACATCAGTTAAAGAAAGTCGTATTCTGAAATTCGCTTTCCTCAGGAAGTATAAACCCAGTGGATTACATGAATTTTGAAGATATTTATACATCAATCCCCTCCCCCTCCCGGTCCTTCCTTAAAATATTTGAAAAAAATTTAAAAACAAACTAATAAAAACAAGCGTCTATCCTTGTTTCCGACCAATTACTCATTGTGATAAACCCATTAATAAGATCTCAAATATTCATGAGATTTCAGATATTGACAATTTGGCATCCTTTATACATGGTTTATACTAGAATAGAATCAAAATGCTAAAAGCACACTATTGAATAACAAATGAAAATATACCATGTCATTAAGTCACCTTTTTCAATCCAAAATGGGAAGTGATCAAGTAACTTTAACAAATTCACCAATCACCATGAAGCAAAAAAGTTCTATCTTAATAATTCAGAACTGCCCAAGAAATATGAGTGACTTCAACAGGAAAGTCAAATCAAATAACCAGAAAGCATATCTTCTAGATTGCGTTACTTTGTAAACAAACAAGAGAGCTACGTAATTTTCTTTTACTTTCCTAATAGAGCCGTATCTTTTATCTACAGCATGTGAACTCCACAGTGCATGAAGCAAACAACAAACAATCAGTATAAAAACATCATGAAAAAATGATGGAAATCCACTCAACCAAGCACTGAGAGAGAACTACCAATACTGATATCAAGCAGACAAACGAGGCATCCATGAGCTCACCAACAATTTCGATGAGTGAGAACATATCCACAAATGCAGAAACAAAAGATGTCAGAGAGAATACATACCACATCAACTGGAGAACCAATGCAGACTGCAAAGAAACCAGCTCCGAGACCAGCCAAAAGATGAGTGAGAACATTATCTGTGAACCCAGGGATCTTCAGAATTGTCTGGGTAGAAATTAAAGAGTGAATTAAGAAATACGATAAATTGTAACTTCAGATTGACCGAGAGAGAGGTCAGACAAAGTTTCCGATCATGACCGACCAAACCTGCTTCACTTGATCATAACTGGCTAGTTCAGCAGCATTAATGATGGCATTTCGTGCAACATTGGGCCCAAGTCCGGTCCAGAGGGCTGCAATTCCTTCCTAAATTTTAGCAATAAAAGTTGAGGAAAAGTAAATCAAATTGTTTGAAGGACTCATTTTTTTCAAGAAGGCGAAGGATGAGAAGAGTCACCTGTCTCACTATTTTTGAATAAGCATCTAATGCTCCTGTATAACGCCTTGGCACACCAGGTGGCAACTTACCCTCAGCTTGGAGTCGTACTTTAACAAGATCTGTGGGATTTGCAACCATAATACCGAAAGCACCTGTTTAATATGGGAAGTGAGTTAAGGAATCCAGAGCCAGCAGATTAAAAATAAATACTATCCTAGTCCATAAAAATGATGAAACAAGATAGCATGATGCAACCGGTTTGATATGCAGATTCTAACCTTATAGGCTAAAATTTTTCTAGTTTCTGTCTCACTAATTTCTAAAATCTATTAAACCACAATTGAGCACGAGGATAATGAAAATTATGTCAATGTGTTACAGAAGATTTGCTCACCGGTTGTGAGAGCAGCAAGTATTTTCTTTGATAAAGGCACATCCCCCACATGATCCTTGCCTACATAAAAGTTCTTAACCTGTGCAGTTTACGAATAAGGGATGAAGATCAGGACCCAATCACACCAGAAACATAGCTTACACTAGATTACCAACAAAAGTATTATACTAACGTACAGGTTCATACAATCCAATCCTGAGACCTCCAAACAGGCATTGACGATGTAGTCCTGGCACAACTCCTTTCCACAATGCAGACATACCTTCCTCTCTAGCAATGGTCCCCACCGTACCCAACAAGCCTCTGTATTTAGGCAAAGCCAGTCCATCCCCTTCAACGGCCTTCTTTTGAAGCTGCAGCCTGACCTTAGCTGTGTCCAAAGGCAGAGTACACACCTGCACGTTGAGGAGAAGTGCATCCAGATTCGCAGAAACAGGTCGAAAGTAATGAAAAAGGATCGAATCACAGTTGAGCAGATAAATAAGCATTAAAAAATAGTAAAAATTAACAGAGCCAAATTTGGGAAGGCAAGATCAATTTCAGAATCGCACACTAAGAGGCTACCCAAGCCAATTAACCAAAGCCCCGTCTATATGACATTAAAAACATAGGTAATATCAAAATGTTATGTAGGATGAACTTTGGTTGTTGAAGAAAAAGTAAAGTAACAAAGATCTGGACTTATAGATAGACGCTGATTAACCTTTGAACAATCTTCTTATGTCCGAAAGAGCCGTTGCCACCAAATGGAGGTTGGGAAGAAGAAGAGTGAAAGAAGCCGATTCTCAATTCGCCAATACGGACTATGAAGTCCTTGAAGTACAAGTGAAAACACCAACTAAAGACGGAGACATGAATCTTGATTTAAGAATATTTGAAAACTTAAAGGAAGCAAGTGGCAGTAGTAATCAAAACACAGCAGATCACAAAACATTTTTTTCCCTTTTTCATGTCATAGCGCAATCGAGCAAAACCCACTGTTTCATATTTTTTTTTCGTTAAATCAAATATCTCCAGCAATTAAATGCTTGAAAAACAAAAGTAGCACGTATGAAGTAAGAAGTGAGAAAAATTCAAGACCAGGATTGCAGGAGGTGCCTAATACAATAATCTCGTTGGCAAATTGAACAGAATTTTTTTGGCGGGATGTTGAGATGGTAGGTACATATGTAAATCCAATGCTAGTAACTTAAGGAGATTACATAAAAACTAGCAGAATTTGTACGCAAGTAACGAGGAGGAGGTGGCTTATATGCTGAATATAAAAAGGGGGGAGGGGGGAAGAAAAAAGTAAAGAAAAGGAAGGGGAGGTGACTTGATGAAAAGAAAAGAAGTTGAATAATGATGGCGGAGGAAATTGTGTGTTGGAAGAGAGAGAGAGATGTATCAATCTACCTCGGCGACGCAGGCGGCGAAGGCGCTGCTAGCAAAGATTCCGGGGAGTGAAATGTCGGATTTGGCGTTGCCGTGATCCCCACCACCCATATCGGAAAAATCAAATTCCCAAGAAAAAAAAACACTCTAGCGGTGCACAAAACTATAATAAACTCAACGCCTGGTGAACTGGGAACCCGGCTGATGCCAGGCTTAATATTCCAGTTGAATGCTGGAAAAAAAAGAACCTAACACCAAAAATTTCCAGGTATGATACGATGCTTGATGAGAGAAAGGTTGGGTTTTGGGCAAAGGAAGAAGTGGGGATTGGGTATGGAGTCGGGGCAATGTCGAGGAAAGTGCTGCTGCTGCTGATGCTGCTTTAAAGGGAAAAGGCCGGGCGGCAGCGAGCGAGCGACCGGATGATCGCCCAAAAGCAAAAATTAGAATTTCTTTTCGGGTTAATCAAAAGTAGTGCCCTTAAGGTTTGGTGTGTTTTGCAGTTTACCCCCTAACGTTTTATTTTCTCACTTTATACCCTTAACTGATAATCAAAGCAAAGATCTAATGATGCTAACAATTGACACCAAAAAGACAATACTATCCATAAAAAAAATGACGAACGAACATAAATACCCACATGTTCGAGTTAGATATAGCACAAATTATTTTTTTTAAAAAAGTACAAAAGAGTAATTAGCCTATCGTAAAAATCAAACCTTTCAAGAATTTTTGGCGTCCAATTTTTTCTTAAGGATGGTAATTTACTGCATCCACTGTTTCTTGGATTGGTTCTTCTATGTGGTATGATGAATAATAGCATCTAAAGGAAGAGTAAAGAAATGAATTTGAAGAAATTTGGGACTTTTTTTTCCCTCTATTTTAGCTGCAAATGTTGCTGATGATAGAGATAAATTTTTTTGATGTGATGAATGCTCAAAAGATGTTAGAAAACTTTTAAGGGTCGATTTTTTTTAGAACATGATGAGTGCCATTTTGGTCAAAAATGTTAACGATTAAAATGAGGGGTAATGTTAGGAAATAAACTGTAAAACCCACCAAACCTTAGCAGCACTTGCTGTGATTAAGATTAACCCTTTCTTTATGCTGCTATCCCATTCCCCAACCCCCAACCTCCCAAATCCAATAGCCTTTATTCTTTGATTCGCGGTTCCTTCCTCTTTGCGTCAGCTTGCTTTAAATCTAGTGATTTTTGTATGCCCACCAAAAGCAAAGAAACCAAAAAAGAGAATGTGCAGTCAAAAACTGGTGCCGATGCCTTTTCGGGTAGCATCAAGGCTTTCTATACAAGCAACGGAATGGGCCTCAAAACCCAAAACAAAATAAGGAGGAATATTAGCATAAGGATTAGGATTCATAGATGATGAACAAATAATGAACAGATAAAATGATGAAAGTTTTCCCTTTAGGTTAGGCTCTGATACCAAATCCCAGAGTGTCAGCTTTAATCTTTGAAGGTATTTCCGAACACAACAGCCGCCTCTCTCTCTCTTGGGCTTTCAAAAGTTCAAGGAACTTTTATCACAAAAATCAGAGTAAACACGTTTGCCAAAAATAGTATAAGGATTAATAACTGGCAAAGAAATAGGGTTAACCACCTCTCTTAGACCGTCTTATGCAAGATGGCAAGCCCCGTTGCCCACTTGGCCTCAACAATTTGTTACTAGCAAGGGAGTGGGCCTAACCGACTTAGTACAATACTGCAAACTCCAACCCACCATATCGACTACCTGTCCCAAGCTACTACTTAAAACAAAGGAAAGAATAGACTAGTAGTTTGGTCATATGCAAATTGGGAGGTAAGAATCAGCCAACACAGCACGTTTTGTTGAAGGGGGAATCTATTCCTTATAAAAGCTACGATGGAAGAGGAAAGCCTTCGCCAATCCATTCGCAAATTCATTCACAAAAATGGAAACTGAAGTATACGCATATGTCAACCGAGAAGGCAAAAAAAAGCTTAAATGTGTCCCTTTCTTTCCATGCATTGCTTCATTTTCAACAACTTTTTACAAGAATGTACCCCTCTTTTCACTGAAAAATACTACAGTGATACAAACACCGCGTAACACTTGTGCGAATTTTTAATCAATGAATTAGGAATGGACTGAAAGCAATTTTTGTTCTTTGCAGTTATGCATCTACAGACCCAATCAGCTGAGCTTACATGAATCCCTTGACTGAGATTTCTCCAGCAGTTACCGCACAGTCTTTACCGGAAAAGGCAAAATATATTCAAGGGATAAATTGCCATTCAGCCGGGAGGGAGACCATCGGCAATCACCATATGTTAAAGCCTTTACTCTTCAAACAATTTCATTCCACATATTCAACAAGAAGAACAATACCACTTAAAAAGTAAAATCTAAACCCCCCTCATCTGCTCCTCTTCTTCGCTTCACTGTACAGAACCACTCCAGTGACAGTGAGTACATACCCCAACATACCAATAACCGACACAGGATTTCTGAATATCATAATTGAGATAACCACTGCAACAGCCCCTTTTGCATTTCCCAAGACCTGAACACATTGGCAATTTCCACGTTAATCGCAACAGCTTTGAGCTTCAAAGGATATCAACATCTCACAAAAGACCCAAAGTATGACTTCATGGCACGAGACAGAAAAGGTAGATAGCATAAAACAACTGGCAATTCAGTATCTTCAATTATGTTTGTGTGTGCCTGTAAAAAAATATTGGGTAACGAGTCATGAGAAAAATTCCTGTGAATTTTGCAGCTTAGCTCTCACAGCTGAAGCCTAAAATTCAATGCTCTACCAGCTCTGGAACATCAGAATCCAATATGCTTTGCTCCCACGCCCGAAGGAACTAGAAGCCTAAAATTCAATGCTTTGCCAGCTATGAAACAAAATTATGTTTCGCATTTAGGTCAAAAAGGGCCAATCAGGTGAACTGGTTGTTTTCTAGCACGGTGAACGGTTTCGCATTTTGGGCTGCTAGTGTCAAATCAGGAATCAGGGGATGCCTTATGGATGGAAAGATCTAGGACTGGAATATCATCTATCTTCTTATTACCACCTTCCCATCTCCAGATGTCATCTAACGTTTTTTTTCTGGATGATCATAATATGCAAGTCCATACGAAGCTCTCTCAGCTTATCACGGAACGGAATTACATCAATTTATAGAGGAAGATGGACAATCCAATCCGAAGCAAATCCATCCACCCAAATACTCCCACACAACTAACTTCCTCTGAACTTAGTTGGATTAAAATTGAATAGCCATCAACAGGAAATTACTTGGAACTGTTAGATATCTAAGAAATAGAAGTAGAATAAGCTTAACTGTCAGATATCTAAGAATAGAAGTAGCATGTTTCATGACAACTTCTCACAAAGCAATGTCGTATAGAACCATGTGCAGAAAATGATGGGCTGGCAATGTAAAAGTTCCATCAGAAAACAATTTGGGCTTTTAACAGTTATCAACAAACTAATGAAAACCCAAGTCAAGGTCACAGTTCCAAATTGGCAAGTGTAAGCGTACTTTCTTCTTTATTAGGAATTGAAATGGCCATAAGAATCCAGACTTAACAAGGAGAAACAAGGGAAATTGCTCAGTGCTGGAATACTGTAACGTGCACATACCTGGAGAGTCAGTGCACTGGTATGCTTGGTAACCAAGAAATTGGTCAAGTTGACAAAGTATGCAAGGGCTGAATTCAGAAGCAAATACCAGATGATTTTGATGTCACTTCTCGCGAGAGCTACTGTGATTGAAACTACATTTTGCTCCATCAGGATTGTCGCAGGGAGTAGGATGAAAACAGCTATTGGAGCCATATAGAGCAGAAGGTTCATGGAGTTCAGCTTTTCTCTGAGAATGTCAACAATAAATAAGACCGAAAGAAATCATGAAGGATACGTAGCGCTCATGAAATATGCAACAGAAATGAATTAGTACCCCTCTGATGACAACAAAATCCCTTGAAGAACTGATTTTAATGCTCTTGCAGCCGTAGCACCAACACACATTACGAATCCAAAGAGATGGAAGCTTGGTTCACTCTGCAGCAGAGTACTGGAAGTGAATCAGGACAAAGTTTCATGGGAAAAAAGAGAAAAAAAAAAGCCTTTTAGAATGTAGAAGCAATAAATCATCATCTCATGTCACAGTATCGACCAGTTGGAGGATGTGAAGGATGATAGACAATTTTGGACACAAGGCACACCAATAAAGAGTTAAAGGAGTAAAAGAAAAATGAAAACAGAACCTTGACTGAGTCCAAAAGCAATGACAACCAAAAAGAAGGCTATCAATTTACTTCAGTTGAAGTGAATAGCAAATTTTCGACATCAAATCGCTACTACTACAAGGTCTTCTAGAAGTTAACAATATGACCATTTCCACAGAGGGTCGTCATAAGATATGACAATAAATAAAGGATTTGAGGACTGCAAACATAATCTAGATTGACTTGGAAGTCGCAGCTTCAAAAGGAGTGACCCTCATATAGCTACATGGTGCCATTACCATTTGTACAAGCTAGAACATTTGATTACAAACAAAGCACATTAAACTTTTCTTATTCATCAAAATAAGCAAATAAATGAACTTTTCTTGAACAAGCAGACAACCAAACTGAAATAGATTATATGCATTCATGAAAATGGGTAAGTATTTGCTCATCCAAGAACAGCACAATAATAATAATAATAATAATAATAATCATCATCTAGGCACAAACAAAGAAAAGCAATAGTCGGATTACTCCATGCTGAATCAAACTGATGGTGTATCAATAAATATGTCAACGAACATTCCACAATTTCCAATAATAAACAGTTACGATTTTCTACTTTTCGCATCGTTAAAGTGCCAAAGGGTGTATATAAGACCTGAGATTCGTTTAAAGCCAGGTTTTTTCCCCATTTCTGCGAAATATAACATACGATGGACATGCGACAAAGCAACGAAAGGAAAAGAAAACGAATCATTTCTGAATAGCTTGTTTAGCCGAAAATCCTACACGCACAAGCTAAAAATCCAGATTTTGCTACTTTGAATTAGTCCAGACAATATTTAAATATGCCATGATAGGGATGAAAAACAAAATTAAATTTTCTTCATCGTCTCTTTCCAAAAAAATTGAAATTCACCAAAGCTAAAAATCTTTTTATGTTTAAAAAAAAAAAAAACCAAAGGCTGAAATAGCATCCAAAAATCTTTACCCCACTAGCAATGACTACTCCGGCAACAACAGGAACAAGAGTGGCGTAAGTAACCCAAGCCTCCCTTTTCCAAGTCATCAAATATGCAAAGAAGGCCGTGAAAAAGGGCGTGGTAGCCCCAACTGCCTGCGTGAAAGACACCGGAAGGTAGCGCAAGGAAACGTTCCCACTGACCACCGACCCACAAAAAATTAGACCCAGTGCCGAAATCTTCAAGAACTGAAGGCGGGAGCGTATGGTCTGCAAAGGCACCATTTTGAACCAGACGACGGCTATGTAACTGAAGAGAGAGCAGGCTATCATGTGGCACATGGTGAGAAAGACCGGGTACTTGAAGCCGTAGTTGCTTAGCAAGTACTTGTTGAGGAGCAAGACTCCAATATTGGAGGCGTACCACGCCGACACGAGCCCAATTGTGAACCACCGCTTCTGGCTCTGGCTCTGGCTCGAGCCCTTCATGGCTTGTTGTTTAACTTCTACTTCTGGGAATTTAATTTTGACGGCTGTCGGCGAACATGGATTTCTCTGGACAGGAGGGAAAACGCGTGTAAACTAGACCGCCGATTGGGCAGAGGGGGCTGCTGCCTGCTGGGGAGTGAATAGTGATGTTGCTTCAGGATTAATACCCCCACCGACGGACCTAACGGTAACGCAGGTGGAGGTCCAGCTCCAGCAATGCTGGCTGATTGATTCTGACCCGGTTTTTTATTTTTTTAAGTATACTCTCACTAGTCACTTCTGGTTAGCTTTTTAGGTGTTACTAGTTTTTTAGACTAGTTCATATACTTCCGGTGTTAAAAAATATTTATCTTTTAACACAGGCTAAAAACACGGATACGGGGCACAAACGGTTGCCGGTTGTCCTCATTTTGCACTGCGCGTGACATTGATTAAACACGATGTAACTTTTTTTTCACACGATGTATTTTCAGAACAGATAGTGGTGGGCCCCACACTTGGCGCGAAAATCGAGTTACATGGTGTAATCTCAGCCGCACAAAATTTTGAGGGCAAATCTTGGCCCTTAACCGTGCAGGGACGGTCATACTGCCCCAAATCCTAAAAACACATGCACCAGACAAAAATAAGAAGAGATGTTATTGGGATTGATATGAATGTTTCAACCGTGCGATTATGCGCACTTACTGTACTTCTTACAAAAATGTCTTGTTTGGATTGCACATTTCTGAATTTTTTTTAGAAAAAAATATTATAACGATTTGATATATATGGTTAGTAAAAAGGTGATTGAAAAATGTATTTGTGAAAAATACAGCAAATTTGGAAAAAAAAGGTGATTGATATTGAAAAACTGCTGTCCAAATAAGGCCTTAGTGTACTTATACAATCAAGTTATATTTATATATTGAGTGGATATACACGGACAAAATTGATTTATATAACAAAATTATATAATGGTACGTCAACTCGGGTAAAAAAATATATTGACTTTTTTTGTTTAAATGAAAGGTTTTAAGCTTATGATCACTTACTTAAAATCTTTTCTAATCTTATCATTCAACATAATTCCCTCCCAACTTGGGTGCGAAGAATATAACAGCCATGCAAATGCACAAAATTTCGTTGGAGTAGAATCTAGCTTAAGGGCCATGATTATTTGATTTTGAAATATTTTCACACGACGGTAGATTTGGAGTGGTTTGTTCGTTGAGCAACACTTGTATCCTGAGTAGTATATAGAATTGGGGAATTCACGCGAGGTCGACATTGAAATTAACGTGTGCTGTTTTATTCCCAATCAAAGACATAATGGACTTAACTTGTGACGGAGTATGGGTGGAATATCCTCACAGTCACAGCTAAACTAACTGCGTTTAAGAAAGCATAACAGAGAGTTAAGGGACTGGCGCTAAGCTAACCGCTGGAATGAGGCTGATAATGCGTCCGATCGCGATTACGACCTTTTTTTTTTTTGTCTCCTTATCAGAAATTTAGCTTCATATTTTGGGAGGGAGCTGCAAATTGCGAATTTAAGATTAAGCTATTAGGTGGAGTGACAGGGACGGGGCAGCAGAGGGGCATATTAATTAAGTATTAAGAGAAGAGAAGACGACAATCAAACCTAATCCAACAAACTCAACCACAAAGTTCAGAAATGAATGCATTAGTTTGTTGACTTCATGCTACACGTCGAAGGCTTGTAAATTGCTTTTACCATTGAGCTTTTAGAAGCCAGGCAATGGTCCGGCCAATCTCAAAATAGATTTTACGTTACAACTACCCCTACTTAACGTCAGGGAAAAGAGGACCTAAACATGTCAAGAAAAACTCGGTGAACCATTACCGGACTAATTTCATAATAGATTCTATACTACAACTACTTCTACTCTACTCCTATGCATCCGCTGGCGAAATATTTTTAGGAAAATTTGGAAATATTTCTTGATCTACACTCAAGTAGAACTTTAAAACTCTCTTAGTGACCAACCACTCCTAAAGGAGTTGGTTTTATTTGATTAACTATCTACACCATAGTTATTAAACCCGGCCCGGAGGGGAACCCGGCGAAAGAGGTGGGTGAACGGGTTACTGGTTCAACCAGTGGGTGAGTGGTTCAACCGGTGGGTCACGAAATATATTTAAATATTATGTTTCATAATTTTTGATATGGTTAAAACTATAATAAATTATGTCATAGTAAATGCTCAATTAGTCTAATTTATTATAGAATCATTAATTCTTATAAGAATTAACAAAACCTAAATGCAATTAGTAATCCATCAAATTTCAAGAATAAAATTTTATCTAAGTATAATTATCTAGTTTATTTATAAATTTTAAATGCAAAGAATTATTAGGAACGATATTTGCCTTTAGAATGAATTATGTGATATGTTATTTTTTAAATTCATTTCATAATTTATAGAGTCTGGGGAGTAATAAAATTTATTAAAAGATTCCAAATAAATTATGTTTTGGAAAATTAAAATAAGAATAAGTCTAATATATAATATAAAAAAAGACTAAATGTTAAACAAGTGAGCTGTTGGTGCAGCGGTTGTTGCATTTCCTTCAATACAAGAGGTCGTTGGTTCGAAGCTTCACTCCAGCATCTTCCAAACATTTTTAACATGCAAACCCGGTTTCCTGTAAAACCGGATGGTTTTCCGGGTTTGACCGGTTGAACCGCCGGTCCGTTGAAAAGTCAACGGTTTAGTTGTCAAAACGATCCAATTAACTAACCGGCCCGGCTCAATGGCCGGTTCACCGGGTTGACCGGTCGAACCGCCGGGCCGGGTCGGGTTTAATAATTATGATCTACACTACATTAAAACTAAAGAGATATTGTACATTTTTTTAGTCTATTTTGATTTAAAAAAAAAAAAAAAAACTGCACTACATTAAGGGTCCGTTTGTTTCGGGTGAAAATATTTTCCTAATTTCCCGTGTTTGGTTGCACAAAAGTTACTGAAAACATTTTCCTATGTAAAATATTTTCACTCATCTTGTGGAAAACAACTTCCCTTCCAAACTTACTGAAGTTGTTTTCCGAAATGCATGCATCCCCGCCTGTAGTATGTTCCAAACTTACTGAAAACATCTTGTAATATGTTCTTTTTTTTTTTTAGAGTAAACAGGAGGACTCGAACCCAAGATCTTTTCCTTACACTCCCTCCCCCGTACCACCCAACCCAACCCAACCCTCCCCCTAGTATATTCAAAATAAAAAAAAAAAACTCATTCTGCTCATCCTATGCTAGTAATTAATTGTGTATAATAGGGACATTCTTTTCTAGAGAAACTTTCAGCAGTGAGAGTGCAAGATATATGTCACAATAAGCATTGCATGTGATTGATATTTGACACTAAATGGCCAGCAATTTGTTTATTGCTTAAGGAGATATTTTTTATTCATATATACATTTCTCCAAGATTTTTTAAAGTTAAACAATGAGATAAATTTTCTTATTTTGCATGGGAAGAAGTATGTAGTTATAATGTGTAGAAAGTAAACATAGAGATAAAAGTGAAAATATTTCAAAAGTTAAACAAACACCAGAAAAATGAAATAAGAAAATATTTTCAATAAGCTAACCAAACACCGGGAAATGATGAAAGGGAAATGATTTTCATGGAAAATTACTTCCACGGAAAATATTTTCCCAAAGAAAACATTTTACTTCCAACCAAACAAACCCTAAAACGAAATTTCGGTGCCCAAAAAGAAAAAAAAACCCCACAAAGAGATGCACCTTTTTAGTCTATTTTAAACTAAAGAAAAAAATACAATAAATAAATCATAACTCGGGAAAGATGACCAATAAATATATCCTGACTGGCAATCGCCAATCGCAAACGAGGAATTGGTGAGAGCATGAAGCCAAACCTACCAAAGTTTCAGAATGATTAAGGCACAGTTTTTTAGTTTTGAGATGCCCGCAACACCTCTGCTCACATTAAACTGGGCCTTGGACCGTTAGTCTTCTTAAGCGTTGTTGCATTGGACATTTTTTTCTTTCAAACTACTATCGATCATCTTTGTGAGGATGAGCTCCATCGGATTTTATAGTTCACATTGTCTTGGAAATGATTATCTAGCTTTTGGTTGGAATACAATCAATGCAAGCAAAACATTAATCACGTGATTCATAATTGGTTGTTTGGATTGTCATTCTTTGATGAAAATAGTTGTGTTTTTTTTTGTATAAACTATTTCCTTAACATATTTTTCAGTCAACTTTTAACTCTCATACGTCATATGTCAAATAAATTTTCCATCTTCATCTTAGATTGCCTAGATGGTAGGATGTCAAATTTATTTTTTCTTGTATTTAAAAATATTTTCCCTTTATACTAGGAAAAAATGTTTTAAGATATTTTATTCTTTGATTTTTGAATAATTGTGCAAGAATTTATTTTGAATCTTATCAAAATTGAAAATAGATTTAAAGTAAATTATAATTGTTTGACTTCATGTAATTTACGTTTTATGTTGCTAATTATATTGCTAGTAAATGCAAACTTTTAAATTAAAAATTTATATATTAAAATGAATCAAGTATTACAATTGAAGATTTTTTTAATACCAATTCTCATTTATTTTTGAAGTAAAAATATCAAAATTTCATGTAAATAGACAAATACTGCTATTATGCTTAGTTTAGATTGCAAGATTCTACAAAAAGATTTGAAATTCATTCAAAACACGCTAGATGTTTGGTGTTCTTAAAGGAAATTTGAATTTATAATTCATCAATTATCAAAGTACTTTTTAAACGCTACAATAATTTGTGATTTATAAATTTAAATACTTCCTAAATAATCTTAACAATTAAAACAATTTGAGAAGATTTCAAATCCTTTATCAAATTCTTCGATCTAAAGGCAACTTTATAGAACAAATAAAAAAAGCAATAAGACATATTATGTCCTACAAACTAATTCAAAGCAATTAAATCAAATTTGTACTTATTTCTGAATATTCATTATATTATACCAAATATGGTATATTGGAAACTTTTTTTTTTTTTTTGAAAAAAAGTATATTAGAAACTGGATAAACATTTACTTGTGTACCAGATGCTGGAATAAAAATTTCCTTCTGCAATCCTAGGTGAAAATGTCTTTTGGATGGGACATCCCCGCGTGTACCAAACACGGGGATCAGGGTAATGTTGTGCAGAATGGAACTTGTGAGGTACCCGTACCCCGACGA